CTCAGGAGCTGTGAGTCGTGGCTCACAGTTAAAATACAGCATATTTTTGCTTTTTAGGGGTATCTGGGAATTTCTAATGAGACTATATGGATCTGGAGGCATAGTTTCACGCCTACTTCACGACACGCCTCTGTCCTGCAGGCCGCAGAATGACTACTTCGAACCCGCAGCAACACCTTTTTGAACAGGTGTGGGCTTATTCTATACATTAGCACGTAGCTCAACATGTCCTTCCAGTGATGTGCGGCACCACTCTGCTGCTATTCATGACTGAGCTGTATATGTTCCTGTATTGGGAGACAAAGTAACAGCTCATGTGGAAACAAATGTTCATGTTATAGTGCAATGTGTGCAAATGTATTAGCTACAGCCAAGTGCAAAACTGAAATGTATCAAACCTAAACCAAATCTTTATTCTTTATAATTGGTCTATTAAAGTGAATTACGTTGTGCATTTTTTTATAAAGTTTGTTTTCCTTCTCTTCTGTGTGTGGCTCATCTTGATGTGTCGTCTCAGTAGTTCTGTAATTCAAGAATAACCGGTTAACTACACTTAATTTTTGCATAGAAAAGAAATGAGAGAAAAGAGGCATTAAGGAGAAAAACATGTCTTGATGGCTGCAGCATGACACCTGTATTTCCACTGCATTTGTATCCTGTATAATGCTCCAGGATCAGATGTTTAAAGGGTATAAGGGAGCTACACTTTTTGGAAACCCTAAAACATTTGATTCAGGATGATCACGGAGGCAGTTATGAGGGAAAGTACAGGTGCCATGCAGCAGTCATACAGCCACTGGGCCACCAAAGGCTCAAATAAGCATCTTCAAACATTTCACCACAACAGAAGTTACTTGAATTCTGTATTTTGAACATCTGGGTTCGGTAACATGATCATATAAAATTATGTCATTAGGGTCTTTCTCTTTAATTCTCTATTTACAATAGTAAGTCCACCTCAGCACACTATCCTCTAAAGTTAACAATAATCATTTTTTTTAGAATTAAAATGCCCTGAAATGAAATGCCCTGATGCTTGTGTTTGTTCAAAGACAAAGAAATCTCTACTCTGGGTTCTTGGCTCACTTTGTCATCCACATTATATTACTATAAGGACAAATTGGTACAAGTGGCTTTTATAATTGTGTTTGTTTGTGTATTGTATGTATTTTTTCAAATGCCTTTAGCATTATTAATAAATAACAAATAATAATGTCTCAGTGGTTTTTTAGTTATTTATTTCTTATGTGACCAAACCTGTGTTATACACCTTGCCTCATCTTTTGTCCTATGGAGTATACACTCTGCTCTGTATCTGCAAGTTTTGTGTATTCTTTGAAGCCACAGAATTACAACCAAGGAATTTTACACAAGTTTTTTTTTTTTTTCCTGTTTAAATGTCATGCCCTTTAAAATGTTAAAATGATTAAAAGACAGATTCCAAAAAACGAAACAAAATAACCTACCTCAATATTTTGGTGAAATTTAAATTGCAAGCGAGATGTCCAACGTCGTGCATGATTCAACATGAGATTAGACAGCGCCCCCTGGTGTCAGCAGACGAGTCCTGACTTATGTCTCGTAAGTCACTTGTTAACAATAGAGTAATACAAACACATATCAGCTGGTAAAGTATGTATGAGGCACTGAGGACATGGAAAATGTTCATCCAGATACATTAATAATTCATAAATACTCCTAAAAAGTCTTTTTCATTAGAATATGAAATAAGCCCTGCAAATACATGTAATAATCTGTATTTAGGCCTGTATCACTTAATCAACCACTTGCACTATGACTGTAAACCTGCGCTGCTAATACTGAGTCTGTTTAGTTTTACTAAGGATGCACCAATACCAATATTAGTATTGTGCCGTTTCCACATACTTGTGCCGTTTCCACATACTTGTGCTCATACTCATTCATGAGGTCCCATGACTGTATATAAGATACCACGATGGGGGGTCTTGCTTCAGTGGGAGCAGGTGGTTGTGGGGGCACGACCCCACGATCATTAGGTCCAAAGACCAAAGCTCTGCCAATTGAGTCACTGTTGCCCCTAATAATTCCCAGATACCCCTAAAAAGCACAGATTTGTGGTATTTTTAACCGTGAGCTATGACTTCTGACTGCTAAGCCGCGACTCACAGCTCCTGAGCCGCGACTCAGGAGCTGTGAGTCAGTGGTGAACAGTTCATAGAGATCTATACAAACAAATACCAGCTGATGAAGAGTGTGTAACATACTGATTACATGTAAACTATGCCTCCAGATCCATATTGTCTCAATAGAAATTCCCAGAAACCCCTAAAAAGCAAAGATTTGTGGTATTTTTAACTGTGAGCCTCGACACAGCTCCTGAGCCGCGACTCACAGCTCCTGAGTCAGTGGTTAACGAACATGGAGAGCTATATAAACACATACCAGATGATGAAGAGTGTGTAACATACTGGTTACTTGTAAATATATGCCTCCAGATCCACAATGTGTCATTGATAATCCACAGATACCCCTAAAAAGTTAAATTGATAACCGTGAGCCACGACCCCTGAATGCTGAGCGTGAGCCGCGACTCAGAGCGCCTGAGTCACGCGAGTCACCGGAAGTTGCCGTGAGTCGCAAATCGTGCTTGCCCTCTCTCCGTATTTGTGTGCCAATCTCCCATCTCACATGCCCTGGCATGTGATTGGAGGACCGCCGGCCCTCCTACTTCCCGGAAGTCCGCTTGCCCTCTCTCCGTATTTGTGTGCCAATCTCCCATCTCACATGCCCTGGCATGTGATTGGAGGACCGCCGGCCCTCCTACTTCCCGGAAGTCCGCGACTTTTGGGTTTGATTGGAGGAGCAGCATCCTACCTGGCCAATCTTGCTTCCTCACCTGCAGTCCCTCGCCACATTCTACGCCTGGTCGAATCTGCCAGTCTTTGTGGCTGGAATTCCCATTTATAATCTCTGTGCTATGTCTCTGTAGTGTCACTAAGACATTGACTCAGTTTGAAAGGGACACTCTATGTCACTGTTATTATTTGGTCTGTCTCACTCATGGATCTGGTCTCACTTAAGTTGTCACTATGGGTTTGGTTTTTTTTTGTCCATTTTAGTTCCACCCCTACGTCTTTTTTGTTGCTTTTTTATCTCGTTCCCTTCACCCTCCGTCTTAACAATAAGTCATGCTAAACCAAGGTTATTACATCGGCGTCTGTGACCAGGGACCCCCACCATGATGTTGCCTGACCATGGTATACTTTCCAAAAATGTATAGTTTATGGTACTCAAAGAATGAAAAGCATTGTTTTTGCACAGGAATATTATTCTTTCTATCTACCTTTCTTTCTTTTCCAGTGTCAATACCAACTCTTTTAATTCTCACCCATTATGAAAACTCACATTTAGTCCACACTTTGGCGCCAGTGCCCTCCTGTGAGGTGTTATTTCTTTACAAGATTAGGATTGGAAAAAATATACTATGTGTGTTATGACATCTGGAATCCCACTATGAAGTTTCACAAACGGGGTTCAAAATATTATGACATCCTCTAAGAATATTTTATGATCAAACGATAAATGAAAATTCACTAGAAAGTTAGAAAATGTACAAGCTTAAATTATCAATCCATTCTGTCAGACCATACAATGAGCAATGAAACTTCAATCAGTTAGTGCACACACTGATTTGTATCAAATTTGAATCATTTGTGATTTTCCCAGCCCTGAACCAGCTCAATGTGAAAAAATGAATATACATTTCAATGTCTTATTTATTCAAAATATATTAAAAAGTTTATACAATTCCACTCTTGTCTTTGGTTATAGATTCACAGTATACATCCCAGCGACATCTCACACTAACACATGGTCCAGCTTCACAGATTTAAGGCATTTGACTGTATTTGACCTTGAGCTTCAATAAATTCACAACAAACAGAAAATGAAAATTGCACCATCTCTTGCAACATCCCTGACAAAATCCATACAATAAAGATCCCTGTCATAAATACACTAACAATAAAACATGACACAAACCTGAGATTTTTTAACTGAGAAGACATTCTGAAATCTTGATACAATTAATTCAAGTTAAAATTTGAAAAAGGTGTTCACTACTACAAATGTACGTTGTGCTGTAACTAACTTTTATTTAAGAGTGTATCAGCCTTCCTTCTCTTTTTGTCAGAATGCTGACAAATCCTATAATTACTTACTTGTAATTTGATAACTTAGCAATGTTTCTTATGATTATTTTCTGTCTTGAATGTATGAATTGAATAATGTATGGATTAAACTTAGTAAACTTACGTCAGTTAAGCATAAGTACCAAATTATTTAAATAAATTAAATAAAAGAGCATTTTAAAGACATTTCCCCTGGCAGTGTTGGGTGTAACACGTTACACTAATGAAACTACTTTTTAAAGGGAAAAGTAAAGTAAACGTGTTAACTATCCATAATTTATCAAAGCCGTTTCTTTTTCCGATCCCCTGCAACGTTACTTTGTATTTACCATGGGCATCTGTGACCCTCAGTTCTCATTCCACATGGTATGTGAAGCTAGTGCTGTCGCACTTTTAACTCTGAGCAGGATCTCATACACTCAGCGTCTGCGCTAAAGGACGTCGCGTCTTCCTCCTCATCTAAAGAAAAAAAGTGGGCCTCACTTGCGCTGCTGTGAGCGGGAACTTCTCTTTGTATATTCGCAGCATGACAACAACCCAATGTGCTATTTTTGATAATAAAGAGCATGAAATAAATATCTGTTTATCTTCATAATAAAGTAACAAGTTACTTTTTAAAGGAGGTAACAATAAAAGTAACTTTTTAAAAGTAACTTCCCCAACACTGCTCACAGGTTTGAATTACATAATGTACATTTTATTTACATAATGGCAGGTGTAGTCAGTTCTACAAAGCTTTCCAAACTCTGAAGTCAGCACACAAATCCATTTGATGCAGTTTCTATGGCACGCTTTCCATAATCTTCTTGTTCTCACTGTTCATGTGCATCACTGTGGCGGCGGAGAGCTGCTGCAGGGGCTAAAAAGGCTCTCTTCTGCCAGGTGTGACAAGTATTTCTGAAAAGTTGAAAGATGCATTTAAATGAAAGTTACACATTTCATTCAATTACAATGTACTGTATACAATTTATTTTAACTTGAAGTTATAATGGTATGGAACGGGGGAAGTTCAAGGCATACTGTTTGATACAGTAGATGCACAAGTGCTGAAAACTGTCCATGGAATGTAATCCGTCAAATGTTGCAGTATAGTAGGTCTGTCAGCTGTGCTGCTGAGAGAAATGCCATCCACACTGGTGCTGACTGCTCAATAATCAGAAACCACACAGCTGCGCTTCACAAGAAATAGGGAGATGATTTGTGTGTAACGGACATTTGTATTCATTATTCATATAAATGATAAGGGTTTATGTCTAATGTCAAAGACTTCTTAGGCAACAATTACTTTTTTGAGCACTCAACCATATTACAACATTGTTCCATAATCAAAAACAGACTTAGAGTTGTGTTTATATCCATCCATGCTATTATCAGGAACTTGTGGCACTAACTTGTAACTCTGCCCTTTCTATTTAAAAGCTCCAGTCTGAGTCCTGTAAAAGTATGACATCATTGTACCACTATGACATCACACTCAGAGAGTTTTCCCATAAATCAGTTTTGACAATTTCTTAATTGAAAGAACTTGAAATAAGTTCTTTACAATAGCAATGGCTGTGTTTGCAGCCGATAACAGCCTCCCTCTGATAGTATCTTAGGGAGGTACAGGTGGAAAGCATTGTTTACTCAAGGTTGTCTCACCAATTTATTTTCTACTTAAGAATTGTTTCACATTCTAAAACAGGAAATTACAACCTTGTTATAATCTTTAATGGTCAAAAATAGTGCACAATACTGCTCCTTTATCTAAAGCCACAAATAATTAGGTGTGGTGAAGAATCCCCAACACACGCCTCACAGGGTTTTTCCTCATAATAATAATGTGATTTGGACAAACCTGGAGGTTTCTGTAGTGCACCACGCTGCGACAGTGAGCTGCCTTGGCTGTTTCTTCGCTGGTGTAAAAGAGGCTACAGAGCTTACAGTAAAAACCAGCCTGTGGAACAATGAACTCCACACCTAATGTAAAAAGAGACATTGTTAGTTACATCACACGGTTATAAAAAGTGCTGTTTTGCTGGGGAAATTAGATTACATTAATTTGCATACTAGTTTTTTGTCTACTAATATTTACACCGGGAAAGCAAAAGATGACTGCCACAAAGTTTTGGCCCTGTACTCAGAAACACATTCTGGTGCTATCACAGAGCAAAAATAGACCCGGTGTCTGGGTTGTTGTTGCTCTCTGCATCAGGGCTTACGTAAGTCCAGGACCATGTGCTGCACTGTGTCCTTCCAGCACTAATGATAATATAAATACTCTCTGGAGTCCATTTCAGAACCTGCACATGGAAATAGGTCAGTAAGTGGCAGTGCATTTTCAATTACAGTGCTAATGCCTCAGGTTGTCAGCATACTTATTAATGGGTTCCCAGAGCACACTTTATCGTTAGGGTAAGTCTGCAGACTGCTCTGGGTTATCAACATTTCCAACACTTATGTGGAAAATATTGCTGCAGTTGTGCTGGCTCCAACTCTCAATATGTTTAGGAAAAATATCTGACATATAACCTGAACCTATGAAGAATACATAATCCTTTTTTTCAAATGTATTATATTATACACATCATTTTTTAATTTGCAAGTGACAAGAATACACAATACAAAATAATGACATGGTGTAAATATAGAGAGGAGGGCCAAAGTTAAAGAGTACAGTGAATAAAAAAGAGGGGAAGGGGTTTCTAGTTATGGTTGTATGTGTGTGTCTGTGTGTGTGTGTGTGTATGTGTGGGTGTGCATGAGTGTGAGTGTATGTGTGTGAGTGATCTAGTATGATGCCTCTTACCTAACGGGATGCTGTGTTCATTGACCACCTTGTCTTGCTCGCACGATGGTGACGGCACTTCAATATCTATAAAAACGAATACATATTTTAACATGAAACAATTTACAAAAACATTTCTAACATACCTTGTGTAAATTGAGCCCCGTTGAGTATAGTTTCAGTTTCTTGCACTTTTTCTTCTTCTTTGTTAATAACTTCTGTCTGTATACGGCCATTAGAGGTGGCCATGGCTTTGACCTCGCTCTGAAAGTGAGGTTTTGGTTCTTCAGGACTCACTTCACGTTTGTTACTCTCAAAGTTCTCCATTATAGATGATTTTGGTTGAGCCTCCTCACTAGTCTTTCCGTCTGTCTCGGCCTCCTTCGTGTTTGGCCCTTCTGCACAGACGATGCGATGAGCTTCCAGGTGCACAAACTTGTCCGGGGACTCGTCTATCTCAGGGAGGTCTGGTTCAATGATGTCATCCTCTCCTCCGACTTCGTCAACGGTCACCAGTTCCTCCATGTTTTTTGGATACCAACACTCTTCATCTGTGTCTTCAGCCTTTTCAACATCCCTCTCCTAAAATACATTTCAGATGTTATTACAATAAAATCAATAATGTAGTTTGTTTAAAATAATGAACTTGTTTACTTACAATTTCTTTTTTTTCACAACCATTGGTTTCTTTTGGTGGAGTACTGCTTTGAGGAGTTGCAGACTTTTCTTTTGAGTTTTGCTCCTAAAATGTTATAAATAATACTTGTTTGTTTTATATAATTCAAACAGTATGCATGGTAATTGTATCCAGCCAGTTACTTACATTATGTTCAGCAGTGTGTTCTTTACTATGCCTCTCTGTGCTGCTGTGTTTCTTGGTCTTTTTGCTCCTCCCTCTTTCTGCTGAGCTCCTCTTGTCCTCAGAGCTTGAGTTGATCTCTGAGAACCTGGGCCGGTGGTGTTCATTGTCTCTTCTCTTGGACTTGGGGTCATGTCTCTGATAAGGTGGCCTGGGTGGCTTGTCTGACTTATATATTGACTCTTTAGTGTAGTAGCTGTCCTCCATGTTTCGGTAAGACATTCTTTGTGGATGCCAGTCCCTGCTTCCTAAACGCTCCTCACTTCTCAAGTTCATGTGTTCAGTGACTTTCTGGTGAGTCTTACGCCGATCTGCGCCCCAGCTGTTTGTCCGATCTTTGTCCACGCAGCCTTCATTCTGCCATGAACCTTCTATCTCATCCACTGCTCTCCTGGGGAGGGAGGACCAGTCCCAGGAGTTTCTGTGGGACACCTGTCCATTGATGGTTCTGCAGCCTGAGACCTGAGCGTTGTCTGGGACGTCACAGCTGAAACCCGGGCTGTGGACTTGAGGGCTCACACAGCGGCCGATGGGACTGCGGGAGCGGCCCCTGTCAGCTACGTAGCTGCTCAAATAACAGAAGAATGTTTAGCCATAGTAAACAATATATACAGTTCATATTTGTTTAAAGTATGCACTAAGTAGTTTTTGGTGGCAGGCCCATCACTTCTTGTTGGTGAAAATGCCCTTGCTTTGCCAGGAATGTAAATAATAATCATAATGCATAGGTTTTAGCTTATCAGGACACTCAAAGACGCTTCACATGTGATTATTCTTCCACTCCATAAACACAGGTAAACAACTACTGTAGCCACAGCTGCCCTGGGGCACACTGACAGAAGCGAGTATGTTCTATCGGCCCCTCTGACCATGACCAACCATTCACACACACACACCAAACTCATTCTAGGCAATGTGGGTGAAATGTCTTGTCTAAGGAAAATAAAAGTTAGGCACTTTACAGTCACAGCTACCCCATTACTGCACCTAGTGTTCCCAGAGGTCTCCCATCACAGTACTAACCAGACCCTGTCCTGCACAGCTCCTGAGGTCAGACAGGATCTGACTTTTACATGTAAGTAGGACCACAATTTCCCTGGAATGTTCCACAAAGTATTCTATTAGGTTTACAGATAACTAATATGCATGTATTAAATATGTAGTTTTTGGGCAGCCACTAGAGATTGCTTAGTTGTATGTTATTTTCAGACAAAACAACAACATCTCAGCATAGAAGAGAAAGTTTCAGTCCTTTCCACTCAAAATTACATAGGGCCGCATTTATTTATCCAGCTGCTAAAGTGTGAGTATAATGTGAAAAATAGCCTGTGGTATTTGTGGGCGAGTTGCACGTGTACTTGACCCAACAGCAACTTTGTGCTGTTTTATCACGTGCCTGTGAGACTACGCAACACTTATGACTGTAACAAGCTCACATAGCGCGGGTTGTATTACCTTTAATTCATATGCTTTAAATTGTTTATTGTATTATTTATTGACATTAATTAGGGTAAATGTGTGTATTATTGTTATTTTCTACCATGTAAAACAGCTTAGTGTGGGTGTAGCCACACATTACACCCTCACTGACGCAGTTTGGTGCATCAGTGTTGCATGAGGCTTTGGGAAGTGCAAATGCTGGTGACGTCGGATTTGTTTCTGCACTTTTTGCGCAGTGTTCTGTTTTATGATTGTGAGTCAACAGCTGATAAATGAGGCCCATATAGTGCACATTGAAATTAGATTCTTACTGGTCATGTTCTTGTATCTCATCTCTTTCCCGCTGAGAAGTGATGTCCAGAATAATTGTATCAACATCTTTTCCTGGTTTCTGAATGAAAAAAGGTTATTTTAGATTTAGATATTTTATTTTAGTTCAACTATGTATCACTAAATCTTACCTTAAGTTGGAGCTCTTTGTATCTTTTGGACATTCTTATCAGGAGTTTCTGAGTGTTGATGGTAGCTGGAGTGAGCTGGTAATACTGAACCATGGCCAGGGCAGCTTCAACATAAGCCATCTCCAGAAAGGCCTGATAGTGAAAAAAAGATTGGTATGCATTTACGCTGTTCTTAAGTGACAATATGTAAGTGATTTTGAATTGCATCAAATTGTTTCCTGGAAATAACATGTACAAATCATATTTGGAAGATGTATTCTTAAATAAAAAAATCAATATTTATGATAGCCATTGTATTTCTATAGTTTGTCCTCAAGCCAGCCATTAATCAAAATGAGTCTATGAATGAGTCAGAATTAGTCTGAGTGTATATTTTTGTTTCCATGTTCTTTGGTGAAATCCAGCTAGTTTGGTTCTTGCAGCTGTATCAAATGAGTAGACACTGCAAAGGTTTTGATGCAATGTGTAGTGACATTATGAACCTGATGTGTGGACCGCATGAGGATGTAGTTGGTGACTTTTCCGAACGGCAGTCCCAGGTTGATGACATCATTCTCAGTGCAGCTTCCTTCTGGGAGGTTACAGATGTGAACAACTCTCCCCACAGCCCCCTTCCTGGGAGGAAAGGACTACAAAACAAAGACTTATCGTTACTGTTTGTAATGGTGTTACATGGAGTGCGACACCTCTTACAGGTACTCTTACAGTTGCTCCAAATGAAAAATGTTAACAAAATGTGATCTTTTTAAGAATATTTACCTCCACCATGTTTTTGAATTGTTGTCATAGACTTGGAATTTGAATTATAACTGTCCATGAGAGCTGAGTACTCTCCATGTCAATGCACCGTCTTGAAATACATTGATTGATTAGGGACAAAAAGGATGCAAGAATAGCGTTTTTGTTTCACATGTGCTAATATTGTTGCTTCCATTGTGCCCCGACAAGTTCGAAGTAGGAACCATGGAGGACCACAGGCAATGGTCTCCTCTGATCATTGTGGTTTTAAGCTCCCACAGCTTTTCCATTCCTCCATGCCTTTCTTCTCTTCAACACCATTAGAGACTTTGTTTACCTGCGTGAAGGCACATTTGTGGCAGGTAGTGTATGGAGACATCGGTCATTAATCAAACTAAAGTATTCTTTCCTTAGTGGTCCGGTGAATTACCGGGTGTTGGGCATGACTGTCATACAAGACATATGGTCCTCGGAGGCTTCTGTAGTGTTGGTGGTAGAAGTAAACTGCAATATAGGATCTCAACGGTAGATGGGAGTAAAAACTACACAGCGTACCTTTAGGACAAGGGGTGTCATGATTTTAGCCTTATTCTGTGGTGGAAAACGCTGGATTTAAACATTTCATTAGCGTACTTGAGCCACGTACTACAGTGTGCTGTAGGAAAAAGAAAAGAAATTGAGAATCAAATCGAAAGGTGACCATCAAATCGAATTGAGGATTTGGAGAATCGTGGCACCCCTTCTTAAGACACAATGTATAATTCACCACAAGGACTGATGCAGCCTAAGTAGCAAAGGGACTGAGAGGGCTAACACTTTTGAGAACTCTGGTGTCCAGCAAGATGTCAGGTGTTCCAACTTAAGCACTTTGGGTGTAAAAATGAGCTATATAAAAAAACATGACTTACTTACTTACATTACTTGTTTGTGTTCAAGTACTTTTATCTTGGGAACTGGATTTTGACAACACTAATAATAAGTGTTCTTACTAGAGGTCCTTTAAAGCTAACCAGGCAGATGATTGCTTTTTAGCCTTGTCAGATGCTAAACCTTTGGGTATTTGTTTGCAAACACCCATCCTTTTTTCTTAGGTTACGTTAGTGCTATTAAAGGACCATTCTGTTGGACTAATCTGATTAGAAAAAGACAGAAAAATAGTTTAGTCAAAGCTCAGATGTTCAGGATAGTTGGACAGATCCGCTAATGTTTTCTGCGGAAGTTCTTGTGCTGTTTGGGGCAAAAAGAAGCAAGTTTTTGTCTCGGAGCATGAGTAGCGCTCTCCTCTCTGCTGCCCGCTATCATTATAACCATATTATGACCACAAGGATTGTGTTGAGTTACGGTAGAGGAAGATTTATGATTGCTATTTTAGTGCCACATACGTCACAATATCACATCATATTATTATACTGAATTTAAAAAGCACGGCACGCTAATATGGTCACAGTACTTTCCATGGACACACAGCCACAGCCGCTCCGAAACCCAAGAATGGAACTCAAGTGAAATTTATCGCCAGAGAATTCACTCTCAAAATGCATTAAAATAGGACTTTTATTAGTGATTAAAACAATCGAGTGTTCTCTTAATACAATAAACTATAAGACCCATCTGATATATATATATATACTTACCTGTGGACGCTGCAGAATTAAACATAAGGGGAAAAAAAATCTTAATAATTATCTCATAGGAAAAAACGTTATCTTTTGGGAACGACTTATTCGCGTATGGGAATTACCTATTATCTTGTAAGAATGACATAGTTAATACGCGGCTCCTGGTAACGTCTTTTGAGATCTGTCCATTGTTGGTGGTGAAGTTGATAAAAAGCAGCTTCAGTCCACAGATACTGTATATCTATATAGACCTATACGTAGATTATCCTGAGACAGACGTAGACCGTGTGGACAAAGTTATTTTAAAATCGCTGTATAACATGGATGTAGCACAGGCTTGTAAACTTTTTTGTGTTAATTTTGCCAATGGTGGTGTATGTATCAGTTTAAGGTGCAAATGTCAACAGTCACACAGATCTATTCAGTTTTGACCAGAGCTCTGTGGCTTCTTATGTTCTCTGTTGTTGTGATCTAGGCGTTGTCTCCGCCCCTGGCATCCACACAATCCAGTCAACAGTACGACATAGCTCATACTTGCATCATAACAAAGCTGAAATAACCAGAATAGCGAGTAGAGGCCAAAACCATCTTCTTAACTTCTTGCTTAACTTCTTTAAGAGTGAAGTCAGTTGTTACTCATAGTATAATGTTACACACACAAAAGTTGAACCGAGTTTTGCTTTCCTGGGTGTCTACATTTTTATTGCGTGTCATATATATTCTGGACACATGTTTTTACACATCTCCGCCACATGCTGCTGTTTGTCTGGGTGATTCAAATCATGCTATTGTGATATACTTGGTGTTTTACATGCACGATGTGACAGTTGTGAAAAGGTGACATTAATATATTGAGTCTAAAGTTCTATGTTAGATCATGGGCTCATATTTCTTCAACTATTGTGCTGAGCTGGAGTATTTGCAATCTCTGCCTTATGCCCTGACCTGACAGACAGGCCCAAGTGCAGCGGAGAGTAGAGCCAGGGGACGTATAGGGAAATTGTGCAATGAAACCCCAATACTAACACACGCTTTACACCGGTAAAGCCTTTAGCGTTCCAGATGGAAGATGACACATATCACGGATTACCTAAAGAAACATCATGAGCAAAAGAACATTGGACTAATACAATCCAGCCTAAACCAGGGTAATGCATACTGATCTTAAAAGTGAAATGGCATGTCTTAAATCTGTTCCGATCCCACATGAAGCAGTTGGATTATCCAGTCAGCGGGTGGCATGGACTCAACGGTGATAATTCTTATAACAGTTCAACCAAGCCGCACCGAAAATAAGGTCATAGTGGGTTGAGCTCTATAAACAAGTCCAGTAATAGGCTGTTTATGTCCTGGGATATCAGAAAGAACAAGCAATCCTTAAAGGGATTTTCCTAATTAAAGAGTGTCTGTGTCTAAGAGTGTAGACAGTCGACCACAGAACTACAAGTGTCAGACACTGGATCAGGCTGAAGACAGTAGCAGTTTCCTTTGGCTACAACCCCCAATGGCTCTATGAACACACAACCTCTGAGTAACACAACAAAAACCCGGGAGCACTATGCCAACTCAAGCCAAATGGATTACTTGTTGTGTTTTTAGGCAGCACAAACATAAACAGGAATCTCTTCTGGGGATGTTTGTTTATTTGTACAAAGTGGGATTCGTGTTGCAGGATATAGGGAGCTAGTGGCTGGATTCACAGTTTCTCCACATACAGCCCGCCAAGTGTCCAGATCACTTTACCAGTCCCTCGCCATCTGAAACCTGACACTTATTCCTGACTGAGGTCTTGGGGTCTGCTCATAGCAGCAGTGCCATAATCCTGCTTTTATCTCCGACTTTACGCGCCGCTACTGTCTAACTCCAGGCCATGCTCAGGGACACGGTGGGTATGTAGGTCACTTGTTATTGATATAGAAATGGTTTACATTCTTTATCAGTCAATCTCTTTTATGCAATGCATTCAAAATAAATACAGTGTCTGTGTCATTCAACCTCACTTCAGAAACAGTTAAAACCACCTGTTCCAACAGGTGGGTCTTTAAAGACACTAACATTAGCTCATTTAAAATGACTCGCATGCTTCCCGCACGCAAGTGAGAAACAATAAAATGACAAATGAACAAACCACTGTTTTGCAAAAAACGTACATTTACAGCTGATACAGATGTATCTCTTGCCGGTAAATTTATATATATATAAAAAAATCTGTTTTGTAAATAATGTGCCAACATGGTCTGAGGGAAATTAAACATATCGACTTCAGTATTTAAGTGATCAAAAACATAATTCACAAAAAGTCAGAGCTACAGTGGCAGAAAAGAAAATAACAAATGATTAAAATATCATCACTCCTAATACAGACTTTAGATGTCAGACTGATAATACACACAGCAGACATCATCTATCATCTGCATAACTCACAGCTCACACTTTTCACTAACAAAGCTTCACACATTGAAACCTGCAGCGATGCATCCATAGCTGTCAGCAAGAAGATCTGCCTTTCATTATAGTAACACCTCCTCTTTAGAACCACAGGGGAGCAGATTTTTAAACTGTCTATATACAGATTATACAATTACAAAAAAACTGATTATTAATCTCTTTCAGTCGTTCACACCTGTAGTACATAAGCAAATAACATAATCTACCCCTATAAGAGTTGAAATTGAGTGCACGTATTGTTGTACTTTAGTCTCACCTTTGGATCTAGTTGCAGGGGGGTGAAGCCTGTGTCCGGGAGGGGGTAGGTCTTCATGGCTGCAGCTGGTAAGAACGAAGCGCTGCCCCCCGATGATCCATCTATGGAAACAATTAGAATGTTGTAAATACACAATATACATTCAAACAGGATAGTGCAGACGGAGAGTATATTCAAAGTCTATTTAAATAAATACATTGTAAATAATGTTTCCCTGTGCATATGCTCTGTACAGTGTCCTTGGGTGTTTAGAAAGGCGCTTTTAAATAAAATGTATTATTATTATTATTATTATTATTACATTTTATATTGAGAACCATAATATCTGACATTGTTGTGAGGCCTAGAGTGGTTGTTTTAGTTTCTCTACTGGGTTCAAGCTGAACAGAAGGACACACAAAGGCAGTAAGGAGCCTCCTACCTTGCCCTGAGGTGGTGAGGACCATAGAGTTAGTTTGTCCGGCGCTCGCTGGTGCTTCCAGGGCTCTGCTGACAGCGTAGTGCACCGCTCCAGTCGGTGCCACGGCCGAGCTGCAACAATCAGCGACAGACCATTTTAGCTACATCTCCCTGCCCACTCATATCTTATGACAGAGCTCATACTCATATTCATATCAAGACAGCAGCACATGGGGCAAGATAAACAATGACAACCTGTGCTTAAAGGTATAAAGGAGGATTTTCCCATATTTTAGGAAAGAACCGCCCTTTCTACTTTTTGAACAAAACTCTCTGCTCTTATAGGACAAGGACGTATAAACAGAATGATTGACATTTGGGAGGACCAATAGTGTTGATGATCCACCCGGAAGTAGAAAATCCTCTTGTATACCTTTAACATGTTAGAGAATGTTGTAAAAAAAAAAAAGAAACACAGACGGCAGGATGCTGTGACCTCTAAATACATTTAGAATAGGAGGTAGAGGCAAGGCCAGAGCAGAGTCTGGCAATACTTGGTGAACTCATACAAATGCAAAAGCTGGTTGAACAAATGATATCAAATGCAAACTTATTTTCACACATGCTTTTATAAAATATTTGTCTTACCTATCACTGTTGTATAGTGTTTTGTTTTGGAGGTGCAGTTTTCCCTTCACATGCTGCTCCCAGTCCTATCAACACAGACACATACATTTCATTTATTTATTACATGAAAGAACTATTCAACAGTCATGATTATGTAGAAAAGACCTTGCAATTTGTATGAGCTAAGATAGTTTGTGTAAATGTAATCAGTGTTGTTGGTGTAACATGGAAGGTTTTAATCTACAGAAAAATAATGTACCTTAAAGTTGTTAATATTATTTGTGAATTCAATTAAGCCTATAAATATAAAACTAAAGACACATTTTTAAGTGTTGGTCACTGACCTTGAGGTTGTAGACTTTCTTGTCACAGATGCTACACTGATGCGGCAGCTGAGCTGGAGTGACCGCATAATAATCATTGACTTGATGTGGCTGAAGTATCTTGAGTTCTTTGCTTGCATGAATTGTCTGGTAGCCTCCAAATCCCTGCATCCCATTGGAGATTAACTTGGGGTCGGAGGTGGGCTCCTCTGGGTTGTACAAATCTGGCCGTGAGTGAAGTGGTTGTCCAGCTGATGTCCACAGAGGGCCAGTGTTTGAGGCCTCACAGTTTCCTGTGTGACTGACTGGACCTTTCCAGTGGTCACTTTGCACAGTGGAGTCAAATGCGCTCTGGTCATTTAGGCTGAACCCAGCTTGTTGTCCTTGTATATCCTGAGTATTTATCCGAGAGAACTGTCTGTCTGTAATGGCTGCAACAGACGTACCTCCAATCATGTTATATTGAGTCCGTCTGTCAGTATCAGATGGGTAACCTGTGTTTTTGCCATAGTCTAGAGTCTGGGCCCCCATGGCATCCCGGAGAGGCTGGTTTGGATGCAGTGAGTTTGCACATTGATTAAACACTCCACCGGCTAAAGCACTTAAGGTGGAATTGGAAGAAGGAAATCCAAGGACCCCTGAGGTGAAGGTGCTTTGAGGGTTTCTGACCATGGCTGAGGCTCGAAGGTGGTTAAACAGAGGCTGGGACATAGCCACACTGGAGAGGACCTGGTTGAGGACAGCGGCAGAAGATGGGCTGCTCCCCTGAGACAGTTTGAGGCGCTGGAGGGTGAGCTGGGCCTGTAGTTGGGCCAGCTGAAGGCTGGCTGGGGTCAGGAGCAGCTGACTCTGCGGGGGAGCTGCCGTCGACACATTTCCTGTGAGCAGAGCCTTCTTAAAGGTGCTGTCTCCGGGGCCGCTGAGGCTGAAAACAGGTAGGAGTGAGTTACTATGTGGAAGAAAAGATAGATGATATCAGCATGTATGGTCCTTAGACAGGTTTGTATCATTCAAGCTAAAGCCTGAAAGACTACACCCTGATGATCACCTTTGCATGCTGTTTAGTAAGTAAGGATATGCAACAATGAACTATAATACATTAAATATAAAACTTAGAATATTAAATAAACAGACACAACAAATAAAAGGTAAGTGAAAAAAAATTATAATTATTTTCAACTAAATTTATTTCCATGTATTAAAAAGAAAAGAAGGTAACTGGTGTGACAAATACAATGTTTCTTTCCTTAACACACTTTGGCACTGAGTAAGTGAGTGAGTGAGTAACTATTGCCACATTATCAGTATCTTTCGAATTTAAGTTTATTGGAGGATTTTCCCAAATTTTAGGAAACAACCGCTCTCACTTTCTGAACAAAACTCCCTCTTATTTGACGAGCATAATTAGAAGAACCAGAAGTAGAAAATCCTCTTATATACCTTTAGTCATCAATGTAAATAATTGCGACCTAACAAAACTGAGGCTGCGATATTTTGCCCTATGATAAAGTTTGTATCCTGTTCAAAGCGGCACTGATTTAAAGGCGAACAACATAATAATAAAAAGGCACAACAGGGAATTGTCAATTGTAAAGTTGCATTTGTAGACGCTTTCCGTGAACAAGCATGGTGATGGAGAGATACGCTTACACCATTCCAGCGTGTGACTCAAAGCTCTAAATATAAGGCTGTCCATTGCTCATGACACGCTCTGTCCTTAACTAATATGGCTCCTACAGCTGGTGCAGGAGAGAGGACACTCCAGACCCATCAGTGACACTGTGAGGAACCACTATTTGTCTTGGCAACATAGATGAGAAATATTTCCAAATCAATCTGTCCTAATCTTGTTAGCTTTGATCATGGGAAATTTGAGCTACATTTTATTAAGGAACTGTATGTACCTGACAGGGAGAAAAGAGATTTTTTCTTTACCAATTACCAGTCTAATATTCCAAAGAAAATACAATGTTCAAATACTGACAAATATATGGCTTTGCACCAATGGGATAAGTTAAGATATCTTCTTTTAAAAGAGGCAAGAAAATTCATGAATATCCTCCATTGAAGTAAGAAATACATTTCAACTGCACATGCAAAAATACTGTATATCCCACTGGCAAAACTTAAGTTTAGAATAATAAATACTTATATCTAGCATTTATTCCATGTACTGTATTGTTCAATTTTTGCAGTGTATTGAAATGAGAACAACAACATACAATTCAATAAACATAAAATGGATAAGACCAATACAAATATACAAATCAAATACATGTAAACAATAGGACGCATGGGTCCAATTGAACTGGACTCACACATACACACGGCACTCGCACAACCTCCTAATCCCAAAATAAAAAAAGAACAAACTTTACCCCTCCAGATGGACCCCGAGTCCAAGGCAGGGACATGGCACAGTATCAGGACATAGCAGCAGCACAGAGCAGCAGCACAGAGCAGCAGCACAGAGCAGCAGCACAGAGCACCACAGAGCTCTGCAGAGACACGGTGACCTCCGTCCGGAATCTGAGCGCGACCCGCCGCCAATGCACGCTCTCCACATGCACAGTCTGAGCACATACTACTGCACTTTACACGGCATCATGTGGGATAGTCCTGTTCTTGTCTTCATAGTCAACAACAGAAGAATAAAGAAGCTTCTATAGATGATCTAAAAAAATGAAATGTCTTGCACATGTTTTCTACACTCGGGTAAGTTGAGTAATGTGAAAAAAAAAAAAAAAGATATTTCCTGGACAAACCATGACATAGTTGTGAGCTGTACAGCCATAGACTAATACAGTGAACAGCAGAACCATGAATAAATCCGAGACCATTATTTAGCAGAAGCCGTAATTCTCACAGTATTTAGATATGAACGAAAATCATGTCATCCAGAATCAGATTTTGTTTCCATTAACAGTTAAAAAACCACATCGGAAGTTTTCCACCAGAGACAACATCCTTGAATGAAAGTAGGACAGTACTTGTCCACTAGGTGGTGGTGTGCACTGCCAGAGCTTTGAGAAAGTCTTGAGTAAGTCTTGAGTCGCTGCATCTTGAGGCACATATTTCACAGTTGAATAGTTATTTGAATATTTTTGACACTATCAATATTTACTCCGTAGATAGATGCCAACTGCAATTTGGTTTAGTGGCAAGTGGCCACATTGGCACAGTGGTTAGCACTTGCTTCGCAACATCCTCCCACATTCCCAAGCAGGATGGGGGTCTTTCTGTGTGGAGTTTGCATGTTCTCCCTTTGTCTGTGTAGGTTTCCTCTAGGTGCTCTGGTTTGCCCTTCCGCTAAAAACATGTTAAAGGTGCATGAGTGGGTGTGGGACAGTGGATGCAAACCATCCCAACAATTCAGTAACAATAATCCTTAATTGGACTTTTCATCAAATCAGACTTCATTTTCAACACATTGGTCCTTTCAGGATAGAGGCTGGACCACATATGTGAGAGGCAGTGGGGTCAACTTGCAGTGCTCCACTTTTGGCACAGATGGTATGGGGACTTTCTGATTTATAGCACAGCACTAGTATCCCCCACTGAAATGTGGGCTCTGACCTCTTACTACACACATTATGACCCCTGTCAAGTGATCGGAATAACTTTGACTTACAGCGTCACTTTCTGATGATGGTTATAAAAAGGTGAAATTTACGTTTGGGATCAGGCTGCAGTTTTTATGAGTCCATATCAAAAGATAAACTCAAGTTTGCGAGCTAAGTATAATCTCAAGTATTCAGCGTGGACACGTCTCAAATGAACCTCAAGTGCACATGCTGGTTATGCAGAGGAGGTGTAAAGCACTCATTACAAACTCTGTTTCACTCCCAACTGAACGTGTTATTCACAGTGCAAAAGGTAGCAATAGTCCACCCTACACAGCAGTTGCAAACCATTAAGCTGCTGTACATAGGTGACTGGGGTCATTAGGTGCCATACGGGTCAGAGGGAGCTCTGACTGGACAGCTGCCTCCAACTTGTGGCACTTAAAGAGCATTCCAACAAATGGGTCCCCAAGCAGGAAATGTGTAATTAGTCCTACAGGAGCCAACATGTTTCTACCACACGTACCAAACATCCGTCACTAAATATGTGCAAGTCATAAACACAGGAAGTAAATGAGTTAAAACAAAACTGTCTATAACATATTCCATTTTATTGCAGACTTTGGAAGTATAGGGCAGTGTATAAAAGAAAACATATTGTCTCACACCTCCATCTCTGACGCCTTATGGTCATTGGCCTCTCTCATGGGACTTATCAGGTGCTCTGTGGTCACTTTTGATGAAGAGTGTTGACAAGAGCTAAGTAAAAGTTTCTTAAGGTCTGCTGACATTTAGTGTCAAACTGGGTGCTGAGAGCTCAACGCTGCGATTCAGTCTTGAACTGTAGACACAGTGAGATCAGACGAGCTGTTGGCTCCAAAAAGACTTCAACAAATGAAGAATGACGACTGCACATGCTGCAGTGAAAGTCTCTGCTTACAGAGGATCAAGTTACAGCCACTTTGACAAATAAACAAACATTCCAAGCCACATATAACATGTGCACAGGCAGTAACCCAGCCAGGCGGAGGCCGTCAAAGTGCTCATATAAAATTTGGATTTATACTTAACTCACATCAGTTGCATTTCTCTCACCAAGTCTCCACTCAGACTCTGACCTCCATTCACATGAAACAAACATTGTCACAAAGTCAGGGTCATTATAACCAACAAATAATAGTTCCATTACTTTACCTCAAAGACTTTTGTGGATATTCAATTCAAAAACATAAGTTCTTTACACTTACAATCTACAAGCCGTTCTACTGAAAATTATGACACAAACCAAATCAGTCATTCTAATAACATATGAATAACATGAATTTAAGTTCTCTAATAGAAAACATGTGTGCAATCCATGCAACAGCTTGTAATGTAATTACTATGTAAATTACTATGAAATAAAAACATGTAAACATGTACTTTAGACATTAAAAATCAGGAAAGTCCCATTGCGAAAACAATCTCCCCAAGAGCTGTGAGCAGGGATTAAACTCAGTACATACGTTTCCTGTCGAATAAAAAAACAAAGCTCCTCTGGACACTCAAAGATGCTTCATATGGCATTATTCATTCATCCTGTTCACGATAGTGAGAAACTACTACAGTAGCCACAGCTGCCCTGGGGCCGACTGACAGAAGTGAGGCACCAGACTCATACTAGGCAATGTGATGTTATGATATTATATTTCTTTGCTAGGAATGTCTTTAAACAGTATTATTGAATCCCAAATGTTTTTTCTAAACTTGAATTATTACATTGGGTCAGCACTATTCCACCTCGGAATCAAGCCTGGGACTTTCCATGTCGCAGCAACATGAACGTTCCACACAAAACATTAGTATTTATAGACCTAAGCAAAAAGCAGAGCCTCCACCAGGAAAGTGCACCTTTAAAACATGTTTGGTGTCTGCTCGTCCTCCATCTCTGCTGCATGCGCTGTACAGTAACCAACACATGAGACTGGAGTCTACCCCCGCCGTGGTCAGCAACATCAGAGCTATATTGGTGCTCAGAGTGACGTGGAGATGAGTCCTACAGCCCCCCCTCCCCCCTCCCCCCCTCCTTTACGCGCCGCTCTCCTCCTTCATATCCCATTGCTCTGTGCGTTCTTACTCCACTCTCCACCACACCTTCTCAAAGCTATAGCATTGCACTTTGCCATCTGTCTCCACAGAGACATGCTCACAAATACCAATCACACCCAAAGATGTCCTTTAACCCAAGGGATCTGCCTCCCCAAAATATTTAGATATATAGTAAAATTACTTTATACAAAATGACAACTAATGGCAATCATTGAGAGCTGAAGTTTGACTCAGCAAAAAATTTACTATATAATACAATCCATGTAATTAGATCATTTAGCTCTATAAACAGTGTGGATCTATCATCTCTGTCACATTTTATGCATTTTACGTTCAACATTGGAACAGATAAAACAGTAAAAAAAAAAAAAGGATGACGAAAGAACAATACAAGATGACTTTACGAGACATAACACTGGACTATTAAGTCTTCCCAAAGGTGTGAGAAAGGCTGCTGTATTCTGGTCCAGGCTGAAAACCCTTCTTTTTAGCCGTGCCTACGACTGATCATAATTTTATTTCTGATAAATACATATATTATATATATATATATATATATTTATCTATTTATTTCTAGACTCACTCAAATATAAGTTGCAGGTTGTCATGTTGTAATGTAACACATGATGATCAAAGCACTCTGATCTCTTTGACAATAATGTATATACACACACATATACTGTATATATATATATATATATATATATATATATATATATATATATATATATATAATTTATAATGTAATACATACACATTGGCAGTATATCGCAGTACAGGCCGCAGGGAACAAAGAACTTCTAGGCGTTTTTTTGCGTTTTTCTTGTAATGTGGGTCTTTAGTCCCTAAAGTCCCTAAAGACCTTAAAGGTTGGTTCTTCATGAAAATCACAATCTTCCAAACAAACATTTCTCCCAAAGAGATCCTGGCTCCTCAAACAAACAGATGGATGACAGCACCAGGACAGCAGCCAATCACACGTCAGCATGCTCATACATGAGTTAACGACAGTCTGCACCTAGATGATGAAACGTCCCTCTGGGACTCTCTGTGGAGTCACCAAAACAACCACAAACACTGACAACATACACAAACAACCACACAACTCGACATACACACAAACCAACAAGGTGAAATCAGCCACCAGCAGCTGCCAGGCACAAGTCCAACAGTGCTCCATGACAGCGCTCAGACTGCACGCAGACAGTGAGGGAGATGTCATCTACTTACACAAGCTGCTTCAGAAAGAGAACATAAAACTCCAGCGTGTCAATGTGTTAAAGTCTTCATATGTCCGAAAGATTTGCACTATCTACAGTTTCACAAGCAGTGAGTCACATCTGGTTATACAAAACACACGATCATGTCTTTCTGACTTCCCATGGCTGACAGACAGATTACTTAGAAGAAAGTAACAAAAGACTCTTTCTGCAGATCCAGGGAAATATTATGCAGTTTAAAGAAAGCATGTCGATATTTCTCCACCGGAGTTTCAGTCACAATGTATTTGACATCTGCGAGTGTGATGCGTTCTTTAAATTCAACAGACAGATTAACCAATCAAAGGAACTATCTGTGACAGAAACATTATCACCCATTTTCCCCACCAAAACAATAAAATTGAAAGAATTACCAACATATTCATTTTATTTGGCAAACACCACATACATAGAAGCAAATACAACAAAACCAGACCATCCTTCCAAGCAGTCAACTCCAAAATCAACAACTACATTAAATCTATAACCCTTATAAACAGCAAAAAAACCAAGTCCACAGTCAAATTATTTGAAACCTTAATACATCAACCATTAAAACTCATGTCTCCCTTTAACGCCCCCCTATATTCTAATTATCAATATTTATTCTCTTTCTCTCTAATATCAGTCATTAAAATGATAAAATCATATATAAT